TGTTCTTTTGCTTGGTTTATTATTGCACACACGATCCTCATGACGATGCGATATCAATGTTTCAGCTAATCAGTGGAGTTGGCATGGGTCCTGTATTAGCTCTGAAATATTTCAGATACACATACAGTCCGAGTGCGATTAACATTCTTCAGAAGGCCGAGCGATCTCGTGGGCCAATGTACACCCTGGTAAATCTGGAGTCTCAACTCAGATCAGAGCAAGACAATTCGACCAACTCCATTTTGACAGCGCCAGTAAAGAATAAGAACTCAGTTTACGAGCCCCTACTGTCTGATTCTCCTATGGCATCCAGGAGATCACTAGCATCGTCATCATTTGACATCTTTCAGCCAGCTCAATCAAGGGTTCCTGCTGCTTATCCCAGAAATATTAAAACCAGTTAACCTTTGGTTGTCATTGTAGCACAGGTTACATATACCTTCGACAAAGAAAAATGGAATGACAAATAATAGAGGTCAGTTGAATTAGATGTGTTGTATAGCTAGTAGAAAAAAAAGGTTGTGTTGTATACTTGTATAGCGCCGTTAAGGACTTGCTATATATTGCCCAGAATATAAATGTGAAACTGATTAAATCTACCTGCATTTTACTCAAAATGATAAAAAAAAAAGATTTCTTGCAAAGATGAGGCTAATGATACTAATATGGCTTTATGTATAATAAATTAATAATTAATTTTCTCCTCGGTAAACTTGGTTAAAGATTCAGAAGTTTGACTTTCCAAAAAACTAATGCACCTTATATTTTTTTTACTTTGAAATGAGGGAGTAATAATTTGTTTGGAAGAGAAAATTATCTAAGTTGCATGATTCATTACCTTTCAAAAAGTTGTTTGAGTGGATGCAAACAATATAGAAGGGTCACACTTGTGCATGTAAACGAAAGCCTGAAGATAAAATGACTGATTATGATATGTGCACTTTCTTGAACTAAAAACATGACATTTATTTTGGGACACGGGGAGTAGATGCCCCCAAGAATGTTGTTCAAAATTAAAAAAGAGAGACCATTCAGGACTAGCCCTTGGAGGTGTATTTTCATAGAAGAAAATCACTTTACATCAATTGGTTGTATCCATTCGCGGACTACGCAAACAAATTCTTGAGGTTGCAAATTTGAGATATCTTGGAATAGTCTTGTGGGCTGGCTCAAATTAATAATGAAACAATAAAATACCTGCATCGTGTCGGATGGATCAACTTGCCACGATGACGCGCAGCGTTTGTTAGCAGTTTATGTGTATGGCGCGCCACCTGTGACGGCAGCGGGCTGGCCGGAGAAGCTGCACGGCCGTCCTAGCCATGACAGGTTCACGGTTAGGCGAAGCTGGCGTCGAGATCGTCGGTCGTTCCCCTCTCATTATTCCTCACGGGCACGGCACAGGCACCGCACCGCCGGCGATATGGCTGTGCGGCGTTAACTCTGCCTTGGTACCTCTTGGAGATTTGGTCATTTTGAGTGCATTTGTTCAACGTAATTATCTTATTTCAGGTACTCCCATGGACATAGAGCGGACCACCACTGGGAGGAGAAAAGCAAAACAAAAAAAGCTTGAGCATCGTATAGTAGGTAGGCTGTTGGTGGGTCGATCCATGCAGGGATTAAAAGCCTTGGGCCCCGTTTGGATTGTCGTTTTCCTTCTAGATACAGTTGTAAAATATACGGACCTTCGACGGTCGTTTTGGTTTCAGGCTGGAAATAGCTCTTCGCCTGTAAGTTACACCCGGAAGTTAAATACACCTGTATTAAAATACAACCATACCAAGCACGGCCTTGTCTGGCCATGGCCGGGTTTTAATCTCGGAGGTACACGCTACACGGCCGGCAATGAATACGAACATGACTAATGATGCAGACCAACTGTTATGGCACCGCCGATTTCTTTGGAGGCCATCTTCAGCATTCAGTCATGGCGTTAATGGCGTCAGCAAGCCCAGCATGGCTCGTCTCCTCCTTAGACTAGTCACAATGGGGAGTAACTTATAGACTAGTAACATCACATTTTACTAGCCTATGTTACTATCTCCCAGTGGGTAGTAACATATGTGTGTTGTCATGTTATGGTTCATTTATTAGCCTATAGACTCATATTGTCTTGTATGTGTGTTTGGTACGGTAACTACCTAAGTTATCACCATCATCTTTCTCATCATTAAATATGTGTCACATAAGCAAAATTATCTTGAAAAGTGTGATGTTACTAATGATGTTATTCTCACTGTGGCCAGCCTTAAGTTTGATTGGGAGTACCATGAACCGGGGCACATCGTTTTTCGTAGGATCAAAGAAAATATGTAATCAAGGGCAACAATTTGATCGAAATGATTACTCCAAAAAAATGGTCGAAATGATTTTTTTCTGAAATAGAGGAAGATTCCCGGCCTCTGCATCTGGATGATGTATGCAACCACTTTATTATTTATTCATATAAGACCTTACAAAGTCATACATCAGTAAGGCTAAAGCCACTGTCTAGGCAACATCTGTCGCTACACCTATCCAGTTGATGAAGGGATGCTGCTAGTATGGGTCTAATACCAAACGGACCTCGCAGCCAAACCTAACATCTAAGACCTAGATCCTAACCAGGACGCCTGCCGGGTATGGGGCACCCACCAGTCCGGCGCACTCCTCAATCAGGACACCTGCCGGGTATGTGGCCGCCGCAACCATCTGCCACCAATCCATCTTCAGTACTGTATTGTTGCATCTACCTTGCCCGATGTAGTTTCCTTCGATGCCACCACGACGTCAGACAATGCCATCATCCTGCACGTATTCATCCACACGCGCCAGTCGCCGAAACTCAGCAGCGCCATGCCGCCGGGATCCGTCGTCGGCCTTGCAATAGATGAAACACCACTCCCCCTCGTCCCCTCCAGCTAGCTCCTGCTCCAAAACGATACCCTCAGGAGGGAGCACGACACCGAAGGCGGGGTCATCGTCCGATCCGATAGACTCAGATTTAGTGTTTCTCCCGGAACATCCCGATCATGTTGACGTAGTTTGCAACGACGATGCCTCAACAGGGGGCGTCGGAGACGCTGTCATCGTCGACCGAAGTCGGCGATATTTTCACCATTGTCGAAATGATATACCATCATGTTTATAATTATAAGTACATACCCCAATAGCCAGTGAACTTTTGCCGTGAGGGAGAGGCAATTGCGAACGGTTTAGGTGCCAAGTTTAGTTGTACGAGAGTGGCAATTCTTTCGGAAACGCATGACAATTTCTGAAAAGAATAAAAATTTGCGGGGAAAAAAGGACAGGAATTGCCATTACCAAGTGAAGTTGCCACAAAAAACGTTCGTTTGCCGTCTCGTTCGTTCGTTAGTTATCATTTTCGTTTAATTAAAGACGGAACATGCGTCGTCCATCTGTCAGCCGCGACAGCCTCACGCTTGAATGCCCTTCCGTTCGTGGCATGTTTCGTTAGGCTTGGCAATGGCACATGACGTACTACGTACCGGCGTTATCGGTTGTCATGTGCCGTGTGCTGCAATACAATGATGCCCTCCCATGCTTGCGGTCCTTGCTTATGAAATCGGGGCCCGTCGCTATCTCTATGCCATCGTCTCGCAAGCTGGATCAGTGTCTGCAATGCTTAAGGTGGATTCACGCCTTCACAGTCTAAACTGCTCTCCTTCTACCCTAAGGACATGATATCCCCACGAAAATACTCAAAACGACGACACACGCACATGTTTGAAACGAAAATACTCGTACGATTAAGGAATCATACGAGTTTCATGCTGCAACATGTTCACTTCACACAAAATTCCGAAATGTCCGAGTATGCAAGGAAGTCTCAAACCACAAACAATATCAACCTAGTACGTACATGCACGAGCCAAATGCGAGGCAGGCATTAATGCCATGACAGTCGCCTGGCTGACATTTTTTTTTGCGGGGGGCTGGCTGACATGCCCTGCTGCCTATCCATCACCTAATTAAGTCCAAACCAACCTCTGCCAGGCAACCTACGCCCCGTCCCTGTCCTCCGACCGCCCCAACCCATACCTTTTCCTCTCCAAACAGACACCCAAACAGCCATAGTTGTTGGCAGTGGCAGGGGAACAAATTGAACAACACCCATGCGGTCGACCAAGTTTTCGATCAGTTCCGTTGGGCTCGATCTTTCTGGGTGGATTCAGGTCTAGGATCAAAAACTCCATCGTGTGTGGTCACGCTGTTGCACGTCTAACGTGCAAGCAACGTGAGCCGTCGATCGATGTCTCTGCATAACCACACAATGGCGAAAGGTTTCCTCCGAGATGTGCTGGACGAATACGACTACTGTTATACTAGCCTGCTATATATTCATGCAGCTCTCGAGGAGAATAAGATGAAAGCCATCACGGTGAAAGTGAACGTTAGGAAACATTCGCCTCAAAGAATTCTTAGTAAGAAGAGGAACATACTACTGTAGTAATACGATCCACTTGGCGCCATGGATCTGGGAGAGCGACTCGGACCACACGACGCTCTGCGGCGAGGTTAAAACCAACCAGTGGTCCGTGCCTGCCTGTTTTTGTCTACCCCGTACGCACGTATACTTACTCCGTCGCACACAGCAGACTTAGTCAAGAAGCATACGCTTGGCAGGGACGACATTATGGCCACCCCTAACCGCCACCTTCCCCGCCACCGTGAGCGCCATCAATGCCGTCCTCGCCCCGCCTTAAATCCCTCCTCCTACCCCCTCCCCTCCCTCCCTCCCTCCATCGCACATTGCCTGCTTACTGGCTCCCCGCCATTGCTGACCAGCGACCGCAACCACCACCTTCCCGCCACTATATACACACTCCCTTGCGCGCGCTGACGCAGTGACAAATCGCACGGGCGGCGCGCGGCCTAGCTGTATTGCACTGTCCACCACCGCCAGCGTCAAATATCTCCGGCGAGAGCTTCAGCGATATTTATTTCCGGAGAGCTTGCCGGGAAGGGGGAGGAGGAGGAGCGGCGGCGGCGGCGGCATGGTGTTCTTCTGCTTCCTGGTGGACCAGCGGCGGAAGGTGCGGAGCAGCAAGCCGGCGGCGGGGATCTGCTCGCGCTGCGGCGGCTGCGCCAGCGTGGCGGACATGGAGACGGCCACGCGGCTCTGCTACCTCCTCACCGTGCACCGCGTCACCTGGCGCGCCATCATCTGCACCTTCTGCGGCGCCATGCTCAAGTCCTACCGCCACTACCGCCTCTACTAGGCCGGCGGCCACCGTCTCCACCCGCGTCCCGTTTCCTGACGGCCGGTGCAGCGTGCATGTGCCAGCTAGTTTTGTTTGCTCTGCTTATTAATTTGTGTTTAAGGCGTGCTCTCTAGCTAGCTTGGAGATTGTTGCACTGGATGGATTCTTGTTATCTTATGTACATATGTTATGCAAGGTTGGATTACCTTCTCTTCTAAATTGGTATCTCCGTCCGTGGAGGCCAATAGGATTACTATTTAGTAGTACTACGATCTCATGCAAGAGAGAAGGGAGAAGTGTGAGGATCTTTGTTATCCATCCCTAATTAGCTCCTCTTGTAATAGTAGTATGGATGTTCATACATTTCCCCTCTCCTCTCCACGGCATTAACGTGTGATTTGATTCCTCACACTTTTCATCTTCTTCTTTTTTGTTGTTGAGAAAATCACACCTTTCATCTGACAAGGCCCTGTTGTCTGCTACTGCTATGAGATATTTCGAAATAAACAAGGACGGGATGTATTTGTGTTGTGTTGTTGGTAGATTTTTTCCCGTCAATTCCCGCGAAAAAATATATTCTGTCAAAACTTCGGTCCGCTGGAGGGGAAAGCTACTGTACAGTATTTGAAAATTGAAACCCCATGGCAGGCCGACCACCAGCAGATGGGCATTAACTAATGTGCATGGCATACGAGGACATATGACACATGGATGTGGACAGCCCATACCAAACTACTCCTACTCTGGTGTAAATTTCGTTGGCCCACGATGTACAATGTCCGCGCCAGCTAGCTGGTGTCTGTTGAAGGAAGTGATTTACAAGTCGCCATAGCCCAGATGCCGTCGACAGGCCATTTCTACGGTCATGGTAATTAAGCACTCGGCACAGTGCACATGTGCAATCAGCGAGTACTCTTCAGGAAGCCCGCAAGGGTCACTTTTGATGGACTGGGAGCGCGTCACTTGGCATGCTCTCAGCCGCCGCCACGTATTGCGATCAGAATGCTTTCTCTGGATCTTTTATTTTTATTTTTCTGTACGCGTTTTTAACATTTAGATGGATTTTTTGATTTTTCGGCTTTTCGGTTTTCCACCTGTTTTGGCACAAAAAAAAACCCGCTATTTTTCTTCTGCGGAAGCCATAGATTTACTTCTCCCGGAGGCACGGATTTCCTTCCGCGATAAAAAAAAGCATTTTTCTTTCTTTTTTCTTCCACAAGAGGCATAGATTTGCTTCCGCAAGATGCATACGTGTGCCTTTCGGAAAAGGAGAAAAATATTTTTTTCGGTTTTTTCTTCTTTTTATGAGCGGCACAAATTATTTTTCATGTAGGTACGAATTTTTTTCCGCGAGATGCACAGTCGTGTCTTTCAGAAAAGGGGAAAACACCCTTTTTTCCTTCTACAAGAGGCATAGATCTATTTCTCATGAAGGCATGGATTTGTAGTCGTTCCTCTTGAAAAACGAAAATAAAGGAGGGTTTTCTTTCTTCCGTGAGAGGCGCATCTCTCGGAAAAGGGAAAATGTGTTTTTTTCATTCCATGAAAGACACAAATTTACTTCTCATGGAGGCATGGATCTGCTTTCGCGAGAGGCATAGTCGTGCCTTTCGAAAAAGAAAAAAAGAACACCTTTTTTTTCTTCCGTGAGAGGAACATATCTACTTCTTGTGGAGGCATGGATTTGCAGTCGTGCCTCTCGAAAAATAAAAAAGCGTGTTTTTCTAAAAGAAACCTATTTTTTCATTCCATGAGAGACACATATTCACTTCTCGTGGAGGCACGGATTTGCTTCTGCGAGAGGCACAATCGTGTCTTTTGAAAAAAAAGAAAAAACGTGTTTTTTTTATTTTTTTCCACGAGAGGTATAGATTTGCTTCTCATGAAGGCAATGATTTGCTTCCGTGAGAAGCACAATTGTACCTTTTCAGATAATGGAAAAACGTGCTCCCGGTTCGAGTTTTCTGGAAAAAGTTCTCATGCCCCGCTGCCGCTACTGCTGGAAAGCCTTTGGATCCCCTACAGGACTGCCATTAGCCCCTACAAGGAGTCAAAATAAGCCAAAATCAGATACAGAAAGTGTTGAGCCATCGAGACCTATCAACATGATATCTAATTTTGAAGATCTCAAGACAAGGAATCTAACGGTGAAAATAGTTCAAGGTTTGGACGCACGGTTTAAGAGATAAAACGTTTTGAATAAACGAATCTACGGAAAATAGGAAACCCCGAATTTCGACAAGTGGTGCGCATGCAGTGCGCCACTTGTCATAACGTGGTGAGGTGGGAGTGATCTTTGTAAATAGTACTCCTTAGTTAGTGATTTATATATTTTCCAAAGTAAAAAAGCAAACATACCCATTGTGATCGGGTGCTGCTCTCGCTGGGAACAATAAGGCCCGCGTAGCCTACAACCCGCGTTCGGTCGCTACCATAGTGGGCCGGCCCCTTAGGGCGCCTCGCTCGCTCGCCTACCAAGGACCTTTAGTGATGTGATCTCCTGTACACCACTCTCCGGCAATTTTTCATCGAACCGAGGATCTCATCATATAGTCAACATGCTTTTCCAGCAACGCAAAACTTTAAATATAACACCAACGTAGATCCGAATACTTTTTTAAAACTTCGAACACAAAACAATTTTTGAAATGCAAACATTAAAAAAATCATGTACAATTTTTAAAATGCAAACATTTTTTATAGTTACAAAACATATGGAAACACGAACAATTTTTAGAAACATGACATTTGAAACTCCCAATTTTTTAAATTTTCTTTTAACAATTTTGAAATAGGAACATTAGACAAAACATTTTTTAATTTTTATGAACAGGAAACAGGAACATTGTTTGAAACTGCCGAACAAAATTTGAAGTCACGGGCATTTTTTGAAATCCTAAACATTTTTCTCGAATTTTGAAAAATTTAAAAAAAGACATTTTGAACAACTTTTGAAAAATACAAACATTTATGAAATTCCCAAAGAATTTCTGAAACATGCAGAAATTTTTGGATTTTATGAGCAAACTTTTAGAACACGGTTTTTTTTAAGTTTCGAATAAATTTCAGAAACGTGAACATTTTTTGACAAAAACTTGGAAAATCAACAAGAAACTAAGAACAGAAAAATGAAAAGCAATAGAAAAGGGGAGCATGAAAAAGAAATGGAAAAAGAGAAAAAGGAAAATGTAACTAAAAGACCCGTTCGGCAACCTTCTAGAAAGTTCGCAAAACCAGGAAAAAAAGAGTTCCCTAGACTGAAATGTGAAAGCTTTAGGTGGGAATACTAAAAATGGCTCGCTCCGGTCGCTTGTGTGCGTTTCTCCGACATTTTGACGCGAAATGCGTTAAATAGGATAGCCGTTCAGTGATACTTTTTCTGTTCCATATTAGTTGTCGCTGTGAGTATGTATGTGTATTGCACGTGTATTGAATTTGTGGCCCACCTCCTAGTCTTATATAGTTGAGGTAGAGGTCTTCCCTTATATTATATATACGTGCACCAACACCTCATCAATACAATGTCCATTGTATTGCAAACTTTTCCGTCTACATGGTATCAGAGCCAAGAGGTCTCGAGTTCAAGACCCGGCTGACGCAATTAAAATTGCAGTCCACTTTCGATCCACGTTTAAGACTGAGGGAGCCACACGTGAGGGGGAGTGTTGACGTATAATGTGTTGTCTAGTCTCTTCCATCAGATTAGTTTTTTTATTGCATTGGCTAGAGCATTGTGACGCCCCCGATTCAATCGTACACTAATCATACACGCAAACATGTACGATCAAGATCAGGGACTCACGGGAAGATATCACAACACAACTCTATAAATAAAATAAGTCATATAAGCATCATATTACAAGCCAGAGGCCTCGAGGGCTGGAATACAAGAACTCGATCATAGACAAGTCAACGGAAGCAACAATATCTGAGTACAGACATAAGTAAACAAGTTTGCCTTAAGAAGGCTAGCACAAACTAGGATACAAATCGAAAAAGGCGCAGGCCTCCTGCCTGGGATCCTCCTAAACTACTCCTGGTCGTCGTCACCGGGCTGCACGTAGTAGTAGGCACCTCCCGAGTAGTAGTAGTCGTCATCGACAGTGGCGTCTGGCTCCTGGGCTCCAATGTCTGGTCGCAGCAATCGGGTATAGAAAGGGGGAAAAGAAGGAGCAAGCAACCGTGAGTACTCATCCAAAGTACTCGCAAGCAAGGAGCTACACTACATATGTATGCATTGGTATCAAATGGAATAAGGGTATCATATGTGGACTGAACTGCAGAATGCCGGAATAAGAGGGGGATAGCTAGTCCTTTTGAAGACTACGCTTCTGGTAACCTCCATCTTGCAGCAGGAGAAGAGAGTAGATGGTAAGTTCACCAAGTAGCATCGTGTAGCATAATCCTAACCGATGATCCTCTCCTTGTCGCCCTGTTAGAGAGCGACCACCGGGTTATATCTGACACTTGGAAGGGTGTGTTTTATTAAGTATCCGGTTCTAGTTGTCATAAGGTCAAGGTACAGCTCCAAGTCGTCCTGTTACCGAAGATCACGGCTATTCGAATAGATTAACTTCCCTGCAGGGGTGCACCACATAACCCAACACGCTCGATCCCATTTGGCCGGACACACTTTCCTGGGTCATGCCCGGCCTCGGAAGATCAACACGTCGCAGCCCTACCTAGGCACAACAGAGAGGTCAGCACGCCGGTCTAAATCCTATGGCGCAGGGGTCTGGGCCCATCACCCATTGCACACCTGCACGTTGCGAGGGCGGCCGGTAAGCAGAACTAGCCCCCTTAATACAAGAGCAGGCTTACGTTCCAATCCAGCGCGCGCCGCTCAGTCGCTGACGTCACGAAGGCTTCGGCTGATACCACGACGTCGAGTGCCCATAACTGTCCTCGCGTAGATGGTTAGTGCGTATAGGCCAGTAGCCAGACTCAGATCAAATACCAAGATCTCGTTAAGCGTGTTATGTATCTGCGAACGCCGACCAGGGCCAGGCTCACCTTGT